AGAGGAGAGCGATCCTTTTTGAGAAGCATTCTCGAAGAGGCAGTAAACGTCGGAGCTTACGTTTCGTCCGATAGTCGCTGCGATCATCGCGGAAGCAGATTTATGATAATCAAGCGGCATCGGCCGTCTCTCTTGTTCGCTCGCAGCGTCCGCCAGCCGACAGCTTTCTTAAAACGAATTTCGATTTCCCAATAAGAGGCCAAGATTTACGGCCTCCCGTTTTGCCCGGCCACCTTTTTTGCGCCTTGTCACGTATCCCCCTCTCGCCGCGCGCCCGGGCCTTTTTTTCCCGGTCTCGCGAAGGAGGTGCACGCTTTTTTTTTTACTGCCCCTTCGTACCGTCCCACAAGCAGGAGGACGGCCTGACAGCGTCCCTCTCTTGCGCAAAATGGATTTTCGCACGTACCCGAGAGCTCGCTCACTCACGCACTCATTCGCTCGCTCGCTCGCGGGGGTTTCGTAGCCTCGCAACCGGCTCGTAATGCACGTGCGAACGTCAAAGTCAGGTAGACGTTGCCAGGACCTCGTGAGGATGGAGAAGAATAGAACACCCGAATTTCGCTGCGCCATCGGCAATCGGTCTCGACACGGTGGAACGGGAACGCTCCTGTTCCATTTAAAGTGGAAATCGAAAACCATACAGTCAAAATAAAAATTATCCTGCAAGCACACAAGATCAAATGGCAACAATTGATGGCGATCGGTGATTTCGCAACTTGAGTAGCATTAGAAGTAATAATAATAATAATAACGTTATTGCATAAATTAGATTTAAGCAATGTATAAAATTATAAAGACAATAATAACGAAACACAAAGTGCAAATGACGAAGTGACAGCGATATAAGGTTTAACTAGAGAATAAACAAAATATAAACAGATAATATCGTTAAGTCAAGACAAACTCAACAGATTCATGAAAAATGAGACAAGATATACTGACTTGAGAAGCAAAGGAACAAAAAGAGGAGAACAGGGCGGTCATTATTTCCATTTTTATTTTTTTCACTTTTTCAAGAATTATATATTATACCTTTTATACTGTGATGAAATATTTAGATTTTTTATCACTTTTTAAATAAAAAGTTGGCACTTTTAGTGTTAAAGTCGTAATTAAGAGCAAAGCAAGAAAACGAATGCACGTTTCAATCAATAATCACAGCGTGCACAATCGAGATCTTTAGATCCGATATAAGGAAAATAAGAAACGAGCGTGAGGTTTAATGTTAAAAGGAACAGTCGGAACGATTGAACGCCGATCGACGTCGTTAATTACGATCGTTAATCGAAGTGAGACGAAGTCAGGAAAGAAATCGGACGGTTTCTTTTCGCGAGAGAGACGCAAAAATGGAGACGTCGTCCTCGTTAAGCAGCCGGTGAGTTTGCGAGATGCGAAATACGAGTAGCACGAGCGAATGGAACCGGGAGGACACACATCTCTCGTCGTGAGACGAAGGCGGAGGGAGGAGGGCAAAAAATCTCTCGCGAATTACGCAGGCCGCTTCACACCAGGCGAAAGAAATCATCGGGGGTAACGAGGTATCCACGTACAAGGCCCGTGTTTCCTTATACAGCGAAAAGGAAGAAAAAAAAAACCGAAACATTACGAAATTGCGGTGGTTAACCTTACTGCGTAGTTATGCAAGCAAGCGCGCAGGGGTCCAGACTACGAAGTCGGTCACAATGTTGCACATGCACGCGCGTACATACATATACGCGGGATGCATTTGCGATTCGTTGCACCTTTGCGCGCCGCCACTCTCGGTTAGACGAGTCGTGTTCGGTTGCTGCTCTTATCGATCAATTACTGCTAAAGAGGCTGCACGCCGCGAAAGATGTGTCACATTAGGGCAAGCATTAGCAATACCGACGCGTTGCTCGAGCTGAGTGATATCTAGAGACACTCAGGTAAGTACGAAAGAGAGAGAGAGAGAAAGAGAGAGAGAGAGAGAGAGAGAGAGAGAGAGAGAGAGAATATTGTTTAGACAACTTCTATTTGATTGGTTCGCCATATTTGGCACCTGCTTAAGAATAAGATGGAATGAGATGCACGGATATCTCATTCTATCTTACAGTAAAAAATAAATTTATCAAATCTTAATACATATTTCTTTGAGTACTAAGTGAACATTTACTTACAGCAAATAAATATTTATTCAATAAAAAATGCTAATTAAATCAAATTAATGGTTTTAGTATCAAATATGTGTTTATATTTAGTAAATATTTACTTAGAACTGTTCAAACAAATATTTATTAAAATTTAAGATTTTTTTATATGCATTTTATAATCTATTTCATTCTGTTTTAAGTAGATCCTGAAAAATATGGCGGACTAAACGTATGGTGTCCAATCTCCTGAGGATCTCTAAACGATATCCTTTGAGGAATCTAGAATCTGCTGACGGCGACCTGCAAAATTCTTATCGTTTCGTGAATTCTCGCGGCTCCGGAATTCTTGCGACGACGTTATGCGCGCGCGCGAGAATCCGAAATATTTAACGGTCCGAGACCGTTCACGCGTGTAAAACCATCGGCCCTCGAAATATCGAAATATGTTTCCAACTTGGAAATTTTCAGTTTTACAACTCCTAACTTTCGCGCTTGCAGCTCCGGGAAATTTTCCGAGCTTCAGAAATATCCAACTTTCGGGGGCTCCGGAATTTTCAATATTGAGAAGTTCCAACTTTCGGCAAAACAAAATTACCTCTCTTTCATCAATCGCGGAATTGGTTCCCACTACCATTACACACATACACGCCGAAACTTTCCTGCGATCTGCATCGAGCGTTCTGCGCAACACGCTCGCGCGACCGCGGCATCGGCCACAATATTGCGCCTGCCATAATCCCGGCGCAGTTTCTGACACGTCGCTTCCGCCTCTCTTTTTCTCCGCGATCGCCTGCAATTTGGACGTCACGGGGAAACGCCACGGTCGGAAGGGGGATCGGCCAATTCGCCGGCGCGGTGCATTAAAGTACGATATACGTACACACACTGGTGCTGCTGCAATTTTGGCAGACGCGATACCACGCCCGGCGTGATAAAAGCTCGCCGGAAGTGGAGAGAGAAAGGGCTCAACGTGGAAAGGAAAGGATGGTTGTTATTCGAAACGACGATGACGAGGACGACGACGACGCCGGTTCCGCCGTGAGAAATCGATTTGACCGGCAAAACGTTCGCTTTGCAAACATACACACCCCCCTCCGACTTTTAAACGTCTTGGCACGCGCACCGTACGCCAATACGATTCTTCTCGCTCGTGCGACTCGTTAACGACAAGAGGAAAGATCGTGATGCAGAGAAAAATGTTGGTGCATCCGAGAAAAGACCTGTCTGAAACTTAAGTGGCCTCTAGACTCTTCAATATTAATATACAAATATTTTGTACAGATGCCCCTTTTAAATAATTCAAAATGAACAGTCTGGAATCAGACAAGGTTGTCACAAATTCCTCATCCTAAAATTCTATAACTCTTCCCTGGACAGAATTTCATGATTTTCTCTGATGCTTTTAATAATATTTTAAATTTTTTTTGTATTTTCATCCTTTTTTGATAACCGTCAAATATTTGGAGAGTGCAATTTAACATAGCAATGTAAATTGCTATTAATGTTCCTGACACTGTTTGTATTTAACTGTCAATTTGGTAGTATTTCAAAATTGCGTAGGTATGATGTACCTGTATTAAACTTTTTAAAACCAAGAATTTTAATTTTTCAGAAAATTTTGCCAAATTGACATTTCCTTGACATTTCCCTGACGTTTTCCTGATTTGTTTCCAGTTTTATGGCAACCCTATCAATATAGCTTACAAACGATTAATAATATTGATCTTCTAGCTATTTTACAGAAATTTCGGAGTGCGATGCGAGGCACGTGAAGGAAAAAGCCGCGAATAAAATCAAATTTTGTCCAAATCCGTTCGCACGAGTGCGCGGATTATGAAACGAGACCTATATTCTCCCCGCATATGTAATACTATCTGATCCTTCCTCTACATTCAGAATCGAGAACAAACGATCGTATTTCGAATTAAATTCTTGATAGTCTTTAATATTTCAAACAAATGTACGCAGTTGGTCTGAGTATAATTAAATTGCAATTTAAAGGGAGATTCAATTGCAATATCCGATTTAACAGGAATTTATATTTCATTTTACAAGATTTCCAAGATATTCTTACAAAATATGCTAATATAGCAACTTTTGTAAAACAGTATTTTCGAAGAAATATAATAGACTGTTCGCACTGAGCAGACTTTTAGTCTAAGTAGAATTTAATTATTAACTATTCCGCCGAGTGCTCTTTGCGGTTGATCACGTAATCCTCGTCAAACGTCTCTCACTTTTCTTCATAATAAAACCGCAGTTCGTGCGAAATTTTCACTTCTAATTTTCCTGTTGGAACACGAAAAGAGCGGTGTTGCTGAAATGAAAATCTAGCCGAAAACATATTTAAAAATAACTTTGTTGGATTATAAAGGTAATTATATAGGATACTCGAGCTGATTACTAGAATGTGTAAAACTTTTTACAGCATTGCTCATTATGCTTGAATTTCCTACATAATTATTTTGATGTTCTAACAAAATTATTATTTAATCATTTAACAAAAAATTATTTTCAGATTTATCTAGAGTTTTACAACGGAATCAACAATTTTGCTAAAGTGTCTAATTTAATTAGATACGAATCTAAAAACAATTATTAAAATAATTAGAACGCTTAAGCGTTGATAACAATGCTGCAAAAAGTTTTAAAATTCCAGCAATTTAAATGTCCTCCATAATTATTTTGATGATACAAGCAAAATTATTTTCACAGATCCGTATAAACTTTTAGATACTTCAGCAAAACCGTTCTTCCCGTGATAGATACGTATTTCAGCAAACTCGTTCTTTCCATGAAAAGACCGCACTCGGACATTACGTGATCGATTCGCGGATCGCCGTCGTGACTCCGAGAGGAAAATGATGAATCATAAACTCGCGCACTTACATGGAATTGGTGGTGTTCCAGTACATGCTGATCGTCTTGGCGCAGTTGCTCACAGTCGACAGTAGTACCGTTTGCAGGCACACGAGGAACACCAGGGTCACGAAGGACGTGGAAACCATGGTAACAATGACGGCGGACGACGGACTGGCACCGTCACTTAAACACCCGTACTCGGTTAACAACCACCGGCACCAACCACGAACCGCGAGGCACAGCACCCGTTGCACTTTCGCCCGCGACCTCGTTGCAGTCGTCCACAACCACCTACTTCTTCCACCACTGTCGCACCTCCACCACATCCACACTCCACTTTGACCGTATTCTTCCTCCCGCGATGATCCTGACAACGTGGACCCACCTTGTCCCACCTTCCTCAAATGATCCTACCTGGTCCCTCACGCCGTCATCGTGAGTCCCCAATTAATCTCGGAGTTATATCTGGAGCGACGAGTCTCACTCAATGGGAGCCTTCGATGATCTTCTTGGAAGCTCAAAGGCGACTCACCGCGAATTTGATCTATCGCCAAATTCGTGATCTCCAAGTCTCTCAAAATTAAAACGATCACACTCGATCCGCGTCTCTCGGCGCACCGTTGTCGATGGTGTCCGAAATAACGCCGGTCCCATGGAGCCAGCCCGTGTTTCTCTCGGGAACACAGTTCGCCAGGCGGTTCATTGGTTCAATTTTCTCGCCGAGATCACTCGGAGATGAGCGACGCGACGCTGGCGATCCTTAGCGGCCCGACGCCAACGAACGCGAGACGGCGCGGCCTTTTCGGAGCAGCGAAGCTACCCGTCGGCTCGCCGTCGATCACACGATCCAGTCAGCGATTGCACGCGACAGCGCTTTGCATGTTCGAATCCTCCGCAGTTTTTCCTCGACCCAGGAATGCGTGAAGCGTGTGTAAAATGAGTATTCCGTGACGACGCTAGATCAGCGGATTCGAAGCTTGTACACTTTTTAAGCGCACCGTCTCGTACCTCCACATATCCGTCGAGGGATCCGCGCGAGTAGATCCGTCGATCGTCGGTCCTCCAAGTTAACACAAGTTAAATCCTCACTACGCTGCACACACTGGAAGATCTCACCGAGATTACAATATCCCTCTCGGGCACACAAACACTCGTCGAGTATCCTCGCGCTTCTCAGGCGCGTCGGGAATCAGCACTTCTCCACGACCAAGTCGGCACTTCTCGACTATTCCCACGAAACACTCGAACGAAGATTTCCAAACGGCGGAAATCCGTCCAATTGCGATCGTAAATCGTCTCGAAATCGCGCGCGTGGAAAAGAAATAAATGAGGAACGCGCGATACGGCGGGGGGGCGC